TTTTTTTTTTTTTTTTTTTTTTTTTTTTTTTGTGCTCTTTCATTGTAGATTTTTATTTTTGAATTGAAAGCAGAACATATCTTTTTTTCTTAAGTTAATAGCTTACTGTTGGCTTTGGTAATCAGGTCATGTATTTCTTTATTTTAAGTTGCTAATTTCTTATTTTCTTTAATTTTCCCCTTTCAGCTGACAAGAATAGAATTTGTGCACTCTAAGGGATTTCTGCATAGAGATATAAAACCTGATAACTTCCTAATGGGTCTTGGTCGCAAAGCAAATCAGGTAATTCTTACTAATGTCTTCTTTCAATCTCAATTGACTTGGACATTTGTTTATCTTTTAAATAAGCCCATCTTTCATATTCTTATATTGCCTTTATCAGGTTTACATAATTGATTTTGGGCTTGCAAAAAGATATCGGGACTTAACAACTAATCGCCACATTCCTTATAGGTAATTGCAGGCACAGATATTCTGTTGCATGCCTTTATGCTTCATTAACTTGCCTGGTGTAAAATGATTTTGTGGTAGTGATGTTGGATTTTAAATTGTAGTTGCTGACATAAGAAACCAATGTCACTTACAGGGAAAACAAAAACTTAACAGGGACAGCACGTTATGCAAGTTGCAATACCCATCTTGGAATTGGTATAAAAAGTGTTGTTTGTTTTCCTTTTTCGCTTTATTTTGGGGTGAAATAAACTGTTATATATTTACTTGTTGATTTTCATACGATACATTCTTGTAGAGCAAAGTCGGCGAGATGATCTGGAGTCACTTGGCTATGTGCTTCTATATTTTCTAAGAGGAAGGTAGAATATCCATTTCAACTTATTTTCAATGCAAAATATACTACGTTTTTAAGGTAATGTTTAAGGTGCATATGTGTTTTTGTTAAAACTGACTGAAATGTTTCTGTGCCCAGCCTTCCATGGCAAGGTTTAAAAGCTGCTACAAAGAAGCAGAAATATGATAAAATATGTGAGAAGAAGTTATCAACCCCTATTGAGGTGCGTATATGCTTAATGTTTACTCTTGAGAAACATGTACAATTATCACCAATATTAAAATGCGTTTTGTTTTATTAAAGGTACTATGTAAATCTCATCCTGTGGAGTTTGCATCATACTTCCATTACTGCCACTCATTGACATTTGATCAGCGTCCTGATTATGGATTCTTGAAGCGTCTGTTCCGTGATTTATTTGCTCGTGAAGGTATTAAAGGATGCATTCTACTTATTGGTCATTTACAAAATGCTGTTATTTAAATTGCATGCGTTATGCATCTAGATGTGTTAGCCTGAAATTTGAATGCCAAGAAGGTTTGGTAGTTTTATTTTCTCTGAAACCTTAGAAAGTATGTGCTGCACATGAATTTTTTCATCCATGTTCAAGTTCAATAGACGCTCATTTTTTATACATAATGCTTTATAAATATTAGTGAGCTTGCTGATTTTCTCGGTTTTTGTCCCTGACATTGTTAAACACTGTGTAAAAGTATGTGATTCAATGATGAAGAAAAGGCCTAAAGTTGGTTAGCTTAATGGACAAGAATAAAGAACGAATGGGATATAGAAATAAAAAAGATAAATATGGGTGAACAATTTTTTATCAATAATCAGGCGCAAACTGATTTTTGGTTCTGTTTGTGGTCAGGGTATGAATTTGATTACATATTTGATTGGACAATCATAAAGTACCAGCAGGCACAGAAAAGTAGATCTCAACCTCGATTCTCTGTAAGTGCCTGTATGCCAGTGCCCCTTCATTTTCTTCATTTTTACTTTTTATTTCCATTAGGAGTTCCTGATATCTAATGATTGAAAATGGACCTGTCTTTGCAAACAATCTAATTCCAGTTCAAAAGTGGGATGTTTTAGTCCTTACAAGATTGTATTTCTATGGAATACAGCCAGCTCCTGGGGGTAGCACTAGTCATGCATTGGCAGGGGATGCAGACAATCATCAAGGTTAGCTCCTGCTAACACACTTTGTGATCTCAAATTTATATTGTAATTTGTCGAAACTCTCAATTGGAAAGTGAAAGGAAGACCTGTGTGAGAAGTTGATGACAGAGACTTGTGTTATTTTCTGGTTTGATTTTATAGCTATAATTAGGTTTACTTTATTTTAAATATTTCCAAAATATTTTATTGACTACTGAAGATTTTAACCTTTAGCATAAATCATTTATTTTGACTCCTAATACAGTGGAGGTATTTTAGGAATCAAAAAGTAGCAATTAAGCACCCCAAAAAACAAGAACCGTTTTCTTGTTTATTTTTATCACCAATCATATAGCATATGCTTTGACATTGAAAAACAATGTCTTTCTAATTATATTTTGGACATAAAGCTGTATGATAGGGACTGGATTTTAAAGCAGGAAAATCATTAATTTTCTCTCTCTTCTTAGGAATAAGTACTGGCATTTGGGGGTTGTCATCACCAAAAATATCCTTCAGGTGTTAGCATTGAGTTTCAGAATTGGCAATTTTTTCTCATAAACCTAGAAGCTATTGTTGTTAGCTATCTATCTTTTATTGCTCCTGTTTTTTAGGCTAAATGAGATTTTTAGAACAAAACAAATAGTCCTCTAAGAAATAATTCTGGTTTTTAGTACCCAATTACTGAAAGATGTGCATTATCACTTTGTGCAGCTTATGCTTCTAACTCTGCATGCATTTCCTTTATCTTTTCTTTTATGAGATCTAAAGGAAAGCATTGGAAATGGTTTCTTCCACTCCATTTTCAAGGTTTTTTACCCTTGCTCTCCTAAATTTTTAGAACACAAGATGCAGCTTCAATTTAGGTAATATATGTAATAAAGTTGTACCTGCAAAAATAATTTATTAGGTGAAATATAATATCACTACATAGGACCAAGATGGAAGGAGTGCTAAGCTTTTGCTTCAATTAGATTTGAAATTTGTCATTACCATTTTAGTTTTTGGTACCAAAATATGATTTCTTGTTGGTAATTCTCTAATTTCCAGGAGGCTTCAATGCTTCTTATTCAGCTGACATGACAGAGCGTGTTAGAACTAGCAATCCTACAGGTCCAGTTGTACGAATGCAGTTTAAATCAGTGGCAGGAAAGAATTTGGTTTCTGATAATCCTGCTGACAAAAATGTAAGTTTTCTGTTTCAAGTTAGTGAAGGAATAATTTGTTATGTGTGGGTGTTTAGGCAATACTTGGTTATGTAAATATTTATGAATATGAATATTGAATACATTTATTTATTGTTGGACTTTTCTTTCCTGGTTCAACAAATAAGTTAGTGTGGTTAGTTGTTTCTGGTCTTTCTTTATTGCGGAATATGTATGTCCTTATATACTTTGGAATACAATGAATTCTGTCATCTCTTTGCTATTTATTTTGCAACTGTACTTAATTAGATTACATTAAGTAAAACTTGATTTTTGCAGATTTTCAGTGATGCTCACATGCCTTCCACCTCTGCACTTTCCCTTGCTGGGCCATCAAAAAGAAACACCCAGAAACCCATGTTGCCTAATGAAGGCAACAATCCTGGTCATGGACATGGAAACAAAGTTGGGCCTTCTGGTGGTTGGATGTCATCCTTGCAGCACATTTCATCAGCCAAATGATGATGATGATGGTAATTCGCCTGGCTTCTAGATCAGTCTGTTAAGTTGGAATCTATAATAGCGCATTGACTACATATTCTACATTATGTTTTTAGCTATGGATCTGGTGATGAAGATTCTAGTGATACATCTTTGGACTCAGCAAATTGTGATGATTTTATGTTATGCTTTCTTGCTATGTATGAGAAATTTCTTCTGATGCATTAATGGAGGCTGCAAATATGCTGCCAATTTGAAGAGATTTTATCGTCTCTAAAATGCTAGTTTGCACAATTTGTGACTAGAATAAATTGGCAGTTATGAAATACAAATACCCACAGCTTGTTTCTTATGGTGTGCATAGCTGTCATTGATGACTGTAAAAACCTTGTATTATTCATTGTATTATGTGGTAATTTGAACTTAATTTACCCACTAGATTATATGACTCCTTTTCCGCTTATTATCATGGCAAAAGCAATCTCTTACTTTGTATGATTTATAATTTGCTTGCCTCATGCAATTGTAGTAGTCTAGTGTCTGCTGCTTAGACACTGGTGATATCCAGGAGAACCTTTTTTGATTGGTAGTGGTTATCAATCTCATGTCTTCATGTTTCTCCAATGAAGCATGGTGTATCCTAAAACAGGTATTTACCTGAAGTTTTAATTTACTCTTTTCAATACTACTTTAATTCCAGCAAATGCTACATTCTTTGAAGCGATAAGATCAACCAGGGTAAAATTGAGAAGTTTTTTTACAGAGAACCATGTGGATATAAAAGCTGAGGAATTACTGGATATAAAAGCTGAGAAGTTACTGGTTGTCTTATTTTATCATTAAATGATAAATTTGTTTTCATATGCTCCTACTGGCATCTGTTGCTACTTTCTTTCAGGCTCTTGTTTGATTTTATGGTTGGATGAGAAGTGTATGTTGGATTCCACAGCAATTTTTGAGTCTATCAGCTTCAATTAATGTCATTGCTTAGAGTTTTATTTTATCAACTTTTATTGTATGAATTAAGTGTTAGCATATATTGTTGATCTTCTATTAAAAGTTTATTTTAATAAATCCTCTGAACTATATGTTTATTTACTTTGTAAATTTGCAGGATTATTTCCCAGATGTGTTGCTTTATTTATGGTGGGAAAAGGGAGATAATTCAACATATACCTCTAGATCCTAACCAGGTACAGGAAGCCTAAATGTGCGGTCCGGGGAACACTGAAGAAATAGGTTGCAATAGAAGTATTGGAAGAGAACTTCAATTCCCCAGAAATGTGCATAGTAAAGTTGAATGCTACTTTAATTTCAACTCAAGATTTTGAAATCCATCAGTGTCTTAGAAGGAGCATGTAGCCCCTGCACTCAGTGGTATCTCATAAACTTATGAATAGACTGGTTATGCAGAAAGGACTTTGCTGCCAGCAGTGCTTGGAATCATTGGAGCAGATAAAGATGAGTATGTGGAAAGCCTTATTATTGATGGTCATGGGAATAAGTCATGGGAGTAAGGCAGTTATTATGTTTGGGGTCTGCAGATTCCTGAAGAGCTTTGTAGTATGTCAGACTTTTGGGAAGAATTCAACTTTTTGGAACAGTTGGGAGATGCAACACTCCCAGAAACTGTTTCCAACTGAATTGCATTGCTTTGTTTAGAGTGTGTTTCTTGATACTATATTGACATCAACCAGGTACCTTGAGATTTTGTACTTTTTGATTGTTGATTGGTTTACATCCACCTTATGCTCCTTTGTGTTTGTACGGTTGCTGACATCTGCATCATAGAAATATTGCATACAGGTATGTGTGGGGCCTTGAGAGGCCAGAATTCGACAGGTAACAAAGGCAGTAATGGTAAAGATCTGGAACACAAGTAAATGCATAGCATGGCGGTAGTTTACATGTCATTATTTAGTGATATAAAATTTTTCAATTTTCCAGGAATGTGCAAGGGATACGGTTGCATTTTGGATCTTAACTCTTGATTTTCTGTACCTAAGCAATTGTAAAAGGAATTGGAATTTTAAAACTTTGCGTAACATGCAGTGGTTTGTGAAGCCATATACACATATTGCAATATCTGAGCTGTCCACGCTTTTTCTATTTTAGACTTAAACGTGTCTAACGTGATTTCCCAACTGTCCCTTCATGCAGGTAACAAAGACATTATCCAAATGCAAGGAATGTTCGATCTGCAAGTGTTAACAAAATAGTAGAACTATTCTTTCCTCCGCATCATACGGAGTATTCTGATCATTCGCTAGGTTACACATTGTCACCAAATAGAATTGTTTTCTGTTTTTTGGTGTAGTTATATTTTCGGAACATTTTAGTACGTCTCTATTGTTCTGAAAAACATTTCGTTTGAATAGAAAAGAAAACTGCTGGGTGAACCCATTCACCGTTGGCCTCCATATTTGATGCATTATCCATTACTCTCTTCGCGCACAAATAATAGATTTTTTTATATTTAAATTAAAGATTTGAAGATAATTTATAATTTTACTTAAATTATCTTTAAAAATAGTAATAATGATACTTTTTGTCTTTTATGATGGAAAATTAATCTAAAGGTATTTTTTTCCTTTAAAATAATAAAAATAACTATTATTTTAGAATAAATTTTAAATAAAAATGTCTATTATTCTGATAATAAGAAGTGAGAAAGATAATAGGTTAATTCTGATGGGGTAATAAAGAAAAAAAAAATAGAGGAGCTCACTTTGGAAAAAAAGAAGTTAAAATGTCAATTTGGTCCCTTAATTTTTAGATTTGTAATAAAATTATCCTTCAACTTTAAAAAAATACTAAAATCATCTCTAAACTTTAATTTTTTATACCAAAATAGTCTTCTGGTTTACAAAATTGCCCTATGACTTGTTATCTAGTCACAAAATCAATTCTTTTTTAAAATTCTAATGACGTGTAATCAAATAGCTATATTTTTTTATCATTACATATTTTTATTTACACATCAAATTAACATATAATAAAAATAAAAAAAACAAAATTAGTATTTGTAATTAAAGTTTAAGTCTCGTTCTCGTTGGATTCAAGAGGGAGACAGAAGCTCTAAATTTTTTCATCTTACCACTCTTAAAAGGAGGTCATTCAATTGAATCCTTGGCCTCAAAGATCCTTTAGGTAAATGGCATTATGACTACAAGAATTCAAGCTTCTTATTTTGACTTATCTTGAAGACCTATATGCTTCTTCCCATGTGCATTCTTATTATGATTCATTTGGTGATATAGCTAGGGGCCCTTTGGTCAATGGTGACTTGTGGGATTCTCTTAGCGCTCCCCCATCAAATGATGAAATATGGTAAGCTGTTAGGTCTATGAAGTCGTGGAAGGCTCCTAGGCCTGATGGCTTAGATGTTGCTTTTTTTCACAAATTATAGGATCTTGTGGGTGGTAAAGTTTCCATGGAGATATGTTCTGTCTTTATTTCTTGGAGCATTCTAGAATCTTGGAGCCAAAGCTTAATTTCTCTTATTCCAAACCCTCACAATTCTGAGATTATTTCACAATTTCGTCCTATTGGTTTGTGTAATGTCACCTATAAGGTGAGACTTCGAAGCATTATGGGAGGCCTTGTTTCCCCAGTCCAATCTAGCTTTCTACTTGGTAGGAATGGGGTAGATAATGTTTTCCTTCTCCAAGAACTTGTGTATAATTTTACTAAGAAGAAAGGTCGTTTTGGAGACATGATTGTTAAGCTTGATCTTGAAAAGGTTTATGATCGTTTTGAGTGGGGGTTTGTTAGGGAAGCTCTTGTTTTCTTTAACTTTCCCCCCAAAATTATTTCTATCATCATGTCGTGTATCAACTTGGCCAAGTTTGATGTTAACATCAATGGGGGTTTGATAGATTAGTTTCTTCCCTCAAGAGGACTTAAACAAGGAGATCCACTTTCTCCCTACTTATTTATTCTTTGTGTGGAATATCCTTCTCTTGAACTGAATGGGTCCAATCAGTGGAAGGGAACCAAGCTTGGGAAAAGGGAGCCTACCTTTACTCATCTCTTTTTTTTGAATGATCTTCTTTTTTTTGGTAAGGCCAACCCTTCTAATGCTACTTATCTAGACGATCTGCTTAAGTTCTTTTGTATTAGCTCTAGCTAGAAAGTTAACTTGTAAAAATTCAAAATCCTATTTTCTAATAAGTGCAAGTTGATGCTAAGAGAGAGGTTTGCTCCAAATTTAATATTTCTTGGATTCTTAATTATGACAAAGGGGATTATGAAAGCTGATTGTAATTTTATCGTTAACAAAGTTCAAAACCAACTTGCAGGTTGGAAAGCTAATATGGTAGAGAGGTCCATTCTTGTCTCTTTTAATCTATCAGTTATCCCTAAGTATTGCATGCATGGAATGTTTTTTTCCTAATGCTATTCATAAGGAACTAGATAGCCTTTCTTGTAAATTTTTGTGGGGCTCCACTAGTGAAAGGAAAAAAGTTAATCTAGTTTCTTGGAATCGAGTGACACAACCTAGAAGGTTAGGTGGTCTTGGTATCCACTCATCTAAGGAAGCTAATCAAGTGGCTATGGCCAAAGTCCATTGGAGATTTCTCACTAAAAAGGAGAAACTTTGGGTGCAAGCTTTTTAAGTTAAATTTAAGATTGATGATCCTAAGAGTAGCCTCAATAAAGCCTCTCCTATGCTTAGGAGTGTTGCTAAGGAAAACACATCCTGGAGAAAGGAATTCAATGGGTTCCTAGAACAGACGAAAATATCTCCTTTTGGCAAGACCCTTGGATTGGTAAAGACTCCTTGACCCCTGTCTTAAGTGGTCCCAAAACTATGGAAGTGACAAGTTTAATAGTCAAAGATGGGGTGCTAGATAATGGAGGACTCGATAAGGGACTGATTAGTTACCTCATACCCCCTGATTTGTCTAAAAAAATTAGAGCCATTGCTATGTAATTGAATAGGTATGATATCGATAGTTTTGTTGGAGTTACTTTTCTAATGGTTTATCTCAGACCATGTCCACTTATTGTCTTGCAAAAAATTTTTCCCCTTACTCAATCTACTAAATGGTCTTAGATTTGGAAGTTGATACTTTTCCTATGATTCAATATTTTATTTGGTTGTTGGGTGTGGAAAACAAAACAAGGATTCTATAAAATGACACTGTATACCCATTCAAAGGGATGTAGCGCAGCTTGGTAGCGCGTTTGTTTTGGGTACAAAATGTCGCGGGTTCAAATCCTGGTTCATGGGAGACTACTTACTTTTGATACCCTATTTAATTGGAGTATATCAGGTTCTAATTTATGTTCTCGTTGTCAAGGGAACCCTAAAACTCTTAATCATCTTTTTAGGGAGTGTGTTTTCTCATGTAGTCTTTGGAATGTGATCGCTACTCCTCCTGACACCATTAACTATCAGGATGTTGATTTCCAAGGTTAGCTTAAAGCTCATTACACTCACAAGGCTATAGTTTATGTTGGTGGTTGGAACACTATGTTTTCTTTTACCATTTGGGCTATTTGGTACTTTAGAAACCAATTAGTCAACCAATTAGTCCATAACAAGTATCACTCCTCTGTTTTTGAAGTTAAGGATTTTATTTATAAGAAAGTGGGAGAGTTTAATCAAGCTTTTGATGTTCCAACAACTAGAGATTCTTCTATTACTATTCATGTTGGTTGGATTACTCCTACTGATTTCATTAAATTGAACATTGACGATTCTGCACTAGGTAATCATGGTCCCGTCGGTGTGGGCGGAGTGTTTAGAGATGAAGTTGGTAGGTGGATACTGGGGTTCTCTTGTCATGTTGGTCACACCACCAGTCTAACAATTGAACTGTGGGCAATCTGTGATGGGTTGTCCATTGCCTTAAGTAAGGGTTTTAACAAACTTGTTCTTGAAATTGATTCAAAGACTCCCATGACTTTAATTGACAAAAGTAATTGTGATTATCACTCATTGGGTACACTTGTTGCTAATTGTAGGATGTCGTTGGATCACGTACTTTGATTTGCAATTCAAGCATATATATATATAGGGAGACTAATGCTATTATGGATAATTTAGCTAAGAAGGGAGCCAAGTCTACTAATCATTTTGTTGTGAATAACAACTATCCTACTTATCTTTGCCATATTTTGTACTTGGATACTATTGGATATTTATTTCCCAAAACTGCTGTTCCTGTTTAAGTTTATATTATATACTCTTATATTACCTAAAAAAAATTGAAGTTTAAAGACTATGTTGGTACCTAATTTCAAAATTTATGAACTAAATTGGTATTTATTTTTAAAGTTTAAGGATTATTTTGGTACCAAAAATTAAAATTTAAAGACAATTTTGATACTCTTTGAAATTAAAGGATAATTTTAGTATAAATTTAAAAAAGTTGAGGGATCAAATTAATATTTTAACCAAAAAATGGAAAAATCATGGAACAGAGAAGTGAACAAGAACTAGAAGAAGAAATGAAAAACGGAAAAGGCAGACATTGAATAAGATCTGAAGTCCATTTCATGAGACTATGAAAGGCCTACCATAGAAACCCCAAATTTGAACAGCTAACATCCAGTTCTCATCCTCAACTCCTTCAAAACGGCAACCACCTTCGCCAACACGATCCCAGGTTCCGTGCTTTCCACTCCAACCATTGTGGCTAGTACCTTGAGTTTCTTCTTTGCTCCCTTGTCATAGAACAACTGACTCAGACATTCTTCATCGTCTGAGTTAGCATCTCGCCCATGAAAACTCGAGGAATAACAACAGTCCGCGTCAGAAGAAACATCCAATGAGTTCTCAACCAGAAAAAGAGACTTGGTTCTCTTAGCCCTTCCGCTATCCAGGGCTTCTGATACCGTCCGCTTCAAATAATTAACATTGCCAAAGTGGGATTGGGAATTAGAGTAAAAAGCTGTTAGGGAAGCATTCTCGGAGACTGGAAACAGAGACTTCTGCTTTGACTTTTTTGTTGAATCCATTGTTTCTGCGAGGGTTTAGGTGGGAAAAAGATGGGGGTATTTAGATTTTTATTTAACTTGTATAAATGATTGGACAAATGGACAAAGTTTAAGCTCTGAAACTGAAAGGTAAAGAAATAATGAATGGCTGAATTTCAGGCCTAAAAATGGGGCAAAACTTTGAAAATTTTCGGTATTATTCCTTGGTTCTTTCCCATCCCACCTTAATTTTAGAACGTTACCAAATTACAGCAGGTAACTGAAACTTCCTTTAAATAATAATAATAATAATATGCTTACAATGCTGGCATGTCAAATTGTAAATTTAGACCAATAAGCTATTAATCTGACTAAAAGGAATTCAGTAAGTGGAAAGAATTCAATTTCTCTTAAACAATATTTCAAGTTTAAGTCTTGTAAATGAAAAAACAAGTGTTGAGAGAGCTTCTCCTCTTATATGATCCGATGCTGCTTGATTTTAAATTAGTTAGGAGTTAATATGATTTTCGAATATCGAGAGATTAATATTAAAAGATTATAAATTTAGAAGGATGATGTTGTATTAAATTAATAAATAGATTTAATATTACACTCAAACTTAAATAAAAAAAGTCAATCATTAACGATAGTAAAATATCATCTTCCTTTTTCTCTTCCGTTGTTAATGAGAAAACCAAAATGTTCCAAATCATGAGAGATTGATAACCGGCAAACAATTAATCTTGATTATAGCATACATGTCATGGTTGTTGTAAAATGAAGAAAGAATAAAGTATAAGAGACGGTAAAAGAGAGATAATGTAAGACAATAATATGTTTCTATTCTTCTTTTTTTCATATGTATACACAATATTGCAAGTCCCATAAATAGTCTAAGTGATAGAAGTTATATTAACTTAATATAACTATGTGAGAAGTCATAAGGTTTAATCATCTACTATGTGAGAAGTTACATGATAGATTGTAGCAGAGTTAATATTTAGTATGAGTAGGTCTGAGTGAATTTGAATTTGTGAATACTCAATCAAATTTACACTTAACATTTAAAATATTCACTCATTATTTTAAAAGTTGAAAAAAGTAAATACGATTGTAAGCTTAGTTATGTTCAATGTAAAATATATCATTTCTTGGAGATTTTCCATGATTAGTAATTGTCTAATTGTATTTGCAAAAGAAAAAAGTAAGATAAAAACCAACTAAAAATGTAGTATTTTTTTTAACATTCAACTAAAAATATAGTATTTAATAACCTCAAAAAAACATAAAAAAATTTGGTATTAATAAATTACAAAATAAAATAAACAAGTTTTACTAAATAGAATTTTAAACTTTTAACCTTATAAATGAGTAAGTTATTATGAACTCAATTGAATAGTTGAAACTAATTTTATTCTCTATAAAGTTACGACAATCTAAGGCCTAAGGGGGCAGGGGGTGTGCTTATTATCACCATACAGCACATGGAAGTTAAGTGATAATATAACATTATTATTAGTGATAATATCCATGCCTAGCTAAGTGTTGGATTAAGGCATTACCCTTGCCTAAAAGTTATCGAGTAAAATATTTTTACGCTTCCCTGACCAGTTCATGGGTATAAATCTCTTACCCATACCCGCCCATAATGGGTAGAAATTGAGTACCCACCGCCTATAGGCAAACTTGCCACCATGTTTGGCTACAGTTTTAAACTTCTCATTCCTAAAATTCATTGAAAGCAGTAAGGACTCTTTAAACATAACTACTACACGGTGAAAGTTTCCTTCCAGGATAAAATTTTCAAAACCAACTTCAAACATAGAATAATTTAGAAATGGTTTACTATAGTACATCCTCAGCCGTAGTCATTATCTTATAACCTTTTCGACCATAACTGATTTCTGATAATATTTTCATCAAAACAAATGCAGATAATTATTTAAAAATAAAATAACATCTTCAACTTCAATTCTTCCAGGCTCACTGCTTATGTGTCTGTTCTTCTGAAAGATTGCAGATTTTATCTACAAAATGGTTCAGGAAGCATTCTCATGGAGAACCTCCAAGAACCCATCTGTCCTGGATATGGATATGAGTGTAGTCAGCATATGATCATGGACCTTAAAAACTCACTCCAACTCCTTCAGGAAATCAATATTATCGACAAAAACCTGCAGAGTCAAACAGTGAGGTAAGTCAATTACAACGAGAGGAAATGACAGGAGCTACAGATAATTCTAAAGGGAAAAATGATAAACAAAGTGAGACTCTTTTATAAATATATTCAAAGAACCATAAACTGAACAAGCTTCTCCAACATATTTGCATGATGTCAAGCCAGTTGGTTATCTTGACTTGTTATAACTAAAATTTGGTTTGATCCAAATGATTGTCAAGAATCACCATTGCTTCATCAGAATGTCAGAAGCAGATGATCTTCCTACTTTGTGTATTGAACTTAAAAACCTCAAGAATTTCTAAAGCTAAGTTAAATAGTAAAGTAGTTAAACAAAAATCAATAAATAAATCTAGAGTCAATACAACTAGGTTAGGCAACAATAAAGAACCCAGTTCCATACATGTTGAGCATGATCTCAAGTTGATGTCCCTTGCAATATCTATTTTAGTTCCAGATGGGCTTAATTTCCTTCTGAGGGGAAGCCGTTTAGGAACCTTTATACATCAATATACTTAGTCTTCTATAAAAATTGGATAGTTTTTGAAAATGTCATGGACCAGAATACAAGAAAATCATTGAATCTATATATTTTCATTTCTCTTAGAAGAAGCTTAGGATAGAGCATACCGTCTTCCAACCATCAGGATCTAAGCATGCAGTGATCTTGGTGTTGATACCAGGTAATGGTCCAGGTTCACGAGTAATTTTCCCACCAACAAGTTTAATTGCTTCTGCAGTTTTATATACATCATCTGTGCCAATTGCAATCTGCCAAGACACAAGAAATTAGTGTTCAATGAAGTTAAAGAGAAGAGGGAGAAAAGTAGAAATTAGCATTAACATGCTATATATAGTTCAATGCACAGCTCTCATGCCACATAAGCAAAACTGTCAAACAGTCATCAAGAGAAAGATAAAAGAAAGAATATTTTTACCTGAGCATAAGCATTTCCTTTTTCATAATCAGTAACTCCATAGTTGTAAGTCAACTCCAGAACAACATTTTTATCCTCCGGACCATAGCCCATCATGGCTATCGTATACTAAAATTAGAATTTAGTGAGCCTAAGTCAGCAAGATAGAAATGAAGACATAGATGATAAACCAATTACAAAATAAGTTAACAAGAACAGAGATTAAACAATAAAAGTAAGAAAAATTTTAGCCACAAAAAATTATTTGGTAAATTTTTTCTGCCAAAATTATTTGGGAACTTTAGAAGAGAGGAAACCTTATAATAATCTGTAAACTTCCAATCCATTAAATGGAAGAACCAATCACAAAGATGATACCTCTTCATAGAATGATAGGATTAATATTTTAGTAAAAGTTAAAGCCATTTTGCATAGTTAAAAAATGGCTTGGGAAAAAGAACAGGGAAAGAGGTACCAATTACTCAGAGAAAATACACCCAGAAAGCCTATATAGGGTTAGAATCATGAATCATCAGTGTAAAAGAAAAGTTGCTTCTTCTTTTTAGGTGCTGCTTAAAACAACAGTACTAAAAGATTGTAATGATGTGAGTGGTAGTAACAAGAAAACCTTCTGCTGAGTAAGTGTATAGAAAATGTTGCTCTTCAGTAATGTGCTTGAACTCTTTGGAGCCCCCCCTTCCTTTTTTTTTTCTTCCCAATTATCAGTTTTTTTAGTCTTACTTATCACCAGTTAACATGAATAAATGAATAACTGACACAGTAATCTGGTTACATTAATTTACCTTGTATTCTGGATTATCTCGTTTGCGTAGAAGCTCCATGCCAAAGGCCTACATAAGAAAATGGAATATATGTTAAGAGGAATATAAAAAAATTAAAACAGCATATGAAACAGCAGATAGCATGTTCATGCAGAAGGCTAGAGACTAAAGTGGATATATAACAGTCCGATCCTTCTCAAAACATGTTTCACCTTCTCATAGAAATTTATGGAACGATCAAGATCACCAACGCGAAGCATTACTTGACACAAGGGTTCAGGTGTAGGCCCTCTTTCAAGTAGTTCAAATTTGTAACCATCAGGATCTTCAATAAATGCAATAACAGTACTACCACCTTTGACTGGACCAGGTTCTCTTGTTACTTTCCCACCCTTAGCCTTTATAAGTTCCACAGTCTTAGCAACCTAATGAAAGAAGGATGTTAGCAGGCACCTTTTAATGACCAAACATTTTATTAGAGAATAAGGAGCTGATGAACAGAGTAAGCTACAAGAATAAGAGAAGTTGGTTGCCAATTTAAAAGTGTGAAATAAATGATTGTGGAAAAAAAGTTTGAACTTACATCTTCAACAGCAATACCAAAATGACCAAATCCTGTTCCAATATCATACTTGTCAACTCCATAATCTGGCAGAAACAATACCATGAAAATGAAGGCATAGTCAAATGGCTAACTGAGTAATTCCAACATTTGAGATATTATCATGCTTTTACCAAAACAAAGGGGTAGTCAGATGCTTACTGTAGGTGAGTTCAATGACAAAGTGATTATCTTCTGGTCCATATCCGAGAAAAGCATTTGTGTATCTCTCTTCTGGTATATCACGTTTTCTCAGCAGCTTCATTCCCAGGCATTCTGTATAGAATCTGAACTTACCAGACATTATTTAGACAACAGCATTAAACAGAATGTTTAGTGCTCCACTCAGTAAGGAAATCAACACTTTATTTTGAAATTACATACTTGATGGTCCTGTCCAAATCCCCAACACGATAAACAACATGAAGCATTCTTCTTTTGTCCTGTTTGACCCACTCTAGGAGGTTCTCCTGGGTAGCAGATGTACTTGCTTGTACCACTCCACCCTGTTGCATCCTTACCCTGTTGCTCTCAGCTCTCAACAGCCTAGAAGCTCTCAAACCAAAACATGGCGAATGCGAAACCGCTGAACGACACACAAACAACTCTAATTAAAAATTCCTTGAATTCCAATACCAATCTATACTAATTCCGAAACATCATAAATCATCAAATATACTAAATTCCTTCAATTCCGATACAGATATCTCAGGCAATCCATAAATCTATTCATTTAATTACTCAGAAAAATACAACAAATTCGCAACCAGTTAAATTTCAAAACCATAAAAAGCAGTCCAAGAATCATTATGCATACAAAAGACAAAATCCTAGGGCATAGGAAGTCTCACCGCTACCGAGATGAGAGAAAAGCAGCCTCCGAGGAAGGAGTAATGGAGAGAGGGAAACGCCGCCGAGACGGGAGGCGGTTGAGAACCTAAAAGAGGAGAGAGAAGGTCGTATGGAGGAGGCTGCCATCGGAGCTGACTACAAAAATCCGATCAGTCCGGAGGCGAGGTCGGCGACCGGAGTTGCAGAGCGGAACTGGCTCTGAAGTGGAAGAGAATGAGAATAAAATGAAGTGAGAAGGAAAGAACAATAAAAATGGGATGCGGTGTTGTTTGTTTCTCCGGTTTACGTTATCCACATCTTGCCTTTCTCGGCCTTTTTTGTTTTTGTTTTGCGGTTCGGAAAGTATCTTTAGCACACTGGACCTGCAAATGGGCCCATCAATCCTCGGGAGGTAGTTTTCAGTTTCACTCCCAATCTATTAAGGGTTGGACACTAGACCCTTTTATTACATTAGGGCCTAAATGTTGCACTCATTCCGGCCTATTTACGTGGATAAGGTTATTGCCGAGGGATACATGATAATACCATGTTAATGTTATTGCCAAGGGATACACAAAGGGCAATTAATGGAGTAGAGATCTTAGATACTTGTTCTTGAGTTTGCCTTAAATACTCGAGTGTGAGTATTTATCAAATTTAAAATAGTTAAATTTGTACTCAAACTTGCAAATATTCAATGGATTTTAAGTTTACATACGAGTATTTAAATTTAAGTTCAAGCTTTTTTCTTATAACTCTAAATTGTTTTATTAATCAATTGTTTAATCATAAATTTTTTTACATTTTTCATAATTTTGAAGTATCAAAATCTTGAATAAGAGTATTATATTAAGTCCAATAGTAAAGAAAATAATCATAAACTTCATTCAAACATTTTTATTAATAATTTTAAAAAGCTCAAAATAAGTAAATTATTTAAGTTACATTTTTAGTCTTATTAAGTTCATAAGTTATTATATATTCAAAATATAATAAATATGTAATAATATTTCTAAGGAAAATGTTGAGTGCACCCACCGATTTGACACTTGGGGGTGCAGACTCTACAAAACCGAAAAATTATAAGAATAAAACTACAAATTTATCCTTAAAAGTCATCTTCCTCCCAATACCCCTTTTTCTTCTTGTCTCTTAATCTCCC